TATGTTTTTTTTCTTTTTGATTTTGTTTTTTATTTTCAAAAGCATGTTTATTGAGTTCAAACAAAGGGCAACTTTGCCCACCCAAATAAATGACAAAATAACAATTTAAAATAAGAAAAGTATAAATTGCTTCATTTGTGTTGCTTTGAAAAAATTATCATTGTCATTCAAACACGTTCGGTCGTAAAATTACACCAAAAACTAAAATAAACATCAATAGTTATAAAACAATTTGGATGAATGACTTACAAAATGCTAAAGAATATTATAAAATAACAAATTTAATTGAATTTTTCAAAAAATCCCCTTTTTTAGTAAATAGTGTTTGTTTTAAGTACCTTTAATTTAAAATATGCGTGTACCAATATTTGCGTCAATTTAAATGGACGGGCATTCATTCACGATTAAATTGAAATGATTACTGCTTGTGGGGTTTTCTTTCTAAAAAGCTTTCAGCGCCTTAATCCTTTTGTCATCTCCCTCGTTTTCTCCAAAATCGCTGTGCCGTAATTAATTGCTTTTTGCCGTAATCGGTTTGAGCGCATTAAGTCTGAAATCTTATTAAAGATCATATTACAGAGAAAACACTGTCTTACACAACAAAAAACTGGTAAACCGCTGTTTACGACCCTCTTCCCGCAAACACCAACCACGCAGCAAAATTTTCGAAACTCGTAAACTTTTATGGCGCACAACGCTAGATCGATCGCGACGGGACATTAATACAAAGTCACCAAAAAAAGAAGGAAAAAAAAAATAACGCAGCATCGGCAAACGCAAATCCGATAAAGATAAAACCCTCTTTTCCTGCGCGCCAATATAAAAAGCATAAATAAATTAAGAGCAACGTTACGGGGGGTCGATTTTATCCTTCGACGAGAGAGAGCGAGCGAATTTTATTTCGCAGAGAGAAAGGAAGAACAAACGAGCACTACTTTTTAGTACAGGACCATTCAAATTGGGCAGCATTTAAATTCTGTTGAAATCCTGTCGAGATTCGAGAGTTGGGTCGGTTCGAAAGGCTAATTCATAAAATGTATTGACCCGGCTAGGCTGGTCTATTGTTTAGGCATTCAAAGTGCAGGCCCAGCGAGGTGGATCGGCCGACGCTTAGTGATATCAACCGAAAAACAGGCCTTTGCATTCAGCTCAGCAATCCAGCGAGGGAGCCGTCGGTGAATTTATTTCCAGAAAAAAAAATAATAAAAAAAGCCCTAAGCCAGATTAAAGTGGGCGCATATTTCTGGCCTGGGCTTGTGCTTAAACCAGATAAATTTGGGCACGGTGGCGGAGAAAAGTAAAAATGACGCCGTGGAGAGAAAGGGCGGTGTTTCCTCTGGCAGCGCAGCTCGGGGCTAATTAATTTTTTTCCTCTCCTCGCAGGACGGCGCTTGTTGTTTGCTTTTGTAATTTGCCGGGCAGGTGAAAAACACACTCGAGCTCGCCGCCTAATGATAGTGCTGTTTGCGAAAACACACGCTCTGCGCCGCGCTGACGACGAACCATGCCTTTTCCACGACGACTTTGAGTCAACAAAAAATTTCTGGCTCGATACACAAATGCTGCTGCTCGGAGCAGAAGCATGGCTGCATCCTCCAGAGAATTTCACGGGCAAACAAATTAGAGTCGTTTGAAGGTGCCAACTGCAAAATTGGTAATGTTAATATTCCAAGCAGCATCTTTGGAGGCACATAAATATTGAGACTTATTTCAAGATATATGGTTAAATTGTTGAATTAAAGAAAAAATATGCCACAGCCGCAGATTAATCAAATTTCATGGGCCAAATCATTGACAGATGAAATTAAAAATGATAAATTTTAATTTAAAAGCTCAAATTCTGGTATTTAAAGACTGATCACAAATTTTTTAATTTCACAAAAGTTTTTTGCTCCCTCGCACAGTTTCTAAAATTGGCCTTAACATTATGCTGTGCAATTTTAATTTGTGTTGAATATTTGGTTTTTTTTTAAATAAAACTCTTTAAAATCTCTTACCGATGCTTAAAAAACTGTATAAGTATAAGAGATAGATTAAATTTTATTGAACAGAAATGTGTAACGTCATGAAAATTTATATTTCTTACATCTACTCATATCAAATCATTTATCATTTTAATGTTAAAATAAAAATGTTCAAGAAAACGAAACATCCAAAATGTTAGAAATCATTTGTATTAAAATAATAATATAAATACACATCAATCATGCCCCGTCTTCTGGAAACCCAGATTGGCAAAATGGGAAATATCAAATTGCTCATCAAAGCATCCGTTTGGAATCGGAGCTGCGTCCACTGGCATGAAAGGGCCTCCCGAAATAGAATATCAATGCGGCGTTTCGGCAACGCGCTCGTCACTGCTGCTCCGCGTGTTGCATATTTCGGATCGGCAGGCGCTACAGTGAAAATAATTTGAGCGCGAGAGACACGACTGAAAGTTCAGTCGGTCGGAAAGTTAGAACTGTTAACGACTCAATTAGCGTGTGAGAGAGAGAGAAAGTAATTCGCTCCATTGAACGCGGAACTTTTCAACTTCGTCAGCAGCAAGTTTCCAGGAGAAAAAGAGAAAAGAGGAAAAGAATCTTTTTGTGTCCGACGAACACAATATAATAATTCCGCTCGGGGAAAATAATCTGGATTTTAATGAGGGCGTCTTCTTCTTGTTCCGCCGCCACCATTGTGGACGAAAGAGGCTCTCGCGAGAGAGAGAAAGAGACACGGTGTTTGCAGAAAAGTTGAGGTCCGCGAGCCATAAAAATGAGAGCACGCGGTGGGAGGGATAAATAAGGCGATTTAGGGGCATTTAATTTAATGCGCAGGCAATTTCTTGCGCTCGCAGCGCTTTCAATTTATAAACTTCAGAGGCAGCTTCTGTTTTACTTAACACGTTTTATTCGCGTGTTTATTTATTCAAGCGCTGCTGATTTTGTGTGTTGCTCAAAAAGCCGCTGCCGTCGAGCGAAATTCTGCAAATGGCTTCCCTTTTGTCTATTTGAGTGGAAGACGATGGAGGCTGGAGACGAAGGAGAGCGAAGGCAAGGAATTACATTCTCATTTAGTTAAGTGATTTTCAATGCAACCGTCGCGAGGAGGCAGAGAATCGCTCTCGACCGAGATTTAATCCCTCCAGGGGTGGCGCTGCCAGTGCGCGAGACCGCCTGCATTATTAATAAAAGCGACTGAATAAATCCTCTTTATGACTACTTTGTCTTCTGATCTGCCACGCTGACGCTTTCCAAAAACCGACAAACGCTTTGACACAATCTTTGGCTGGAGTTGAAAATTTTTAAATTTTAAACGAAACATATATGTTGATTTGACTTTAAAATTCGGCTTTTCCTCGACGGGTTTTTGTGAGTTTTTTTATTGTTTCAGAAAAATGTAACCTTTAAATAAATTTTTCACGAAAAATTGTTAATTTCAAAGAAAAATATTTTTATAAAATTGATTGTTGTACTAATTTTTGTCAAAATAATTTCACAGCTCATGAATTATGGCTGCAGCCGAAACATGTAGAGCAGGATATTGTTTTACTGAAACAATAAACAACTCTCAAAAACCCATCGAGGAAAAGCCGAATTTAAATTCAAATCACCATGAATCAACTCTCGATCGTGAAATTATTAAAAAAAAAACATTTATGACATTTATATCTCTTCCCCCGAAAGGGGATAGCAGCGTTGTTGCTGTAAAAACTACATTACCTTAAAATGCTTGAACATTTATGAACCTTACTTATCAATTTAATTTAAGTTATTAAATTTAATAAGGTATTTATTTTGTTGTTTATATTTTATATTTTGTCTTTATTTTATTAAATTAATATTATAAATAAATATATAATTATCTGAAAATTATGCTTTATAGTTATTTTATTTTCTCTAAAACTCTTTTTATTCTATAACATGATAAAATTAATTGGTCACATTAATAGAAATGCTTTGTAGCAAGCATTACATGTACATAGAGGTATCAATATAAATATTTCAACCGTGTTTCTGTAATATCGTGTTAAATATATACAGATTATAAAAAATGATATCTTTCCTGACTTGAAACTTCATTAAGAAGAGAACCAACCCAATATAAACTGCAAGATTAATAAATGATGAAATTATACATATAATAAATTATTTCGTGAGAAATTATTGAAGTATTTTTTTACTACATTATAAATATAATTCACTTTTTTTGTAATCAAAACTTAAGCATTGTTTTGCAAAAATGGAGTTTAAACTTTAAATTTTGAAGGTAAACATGTGTACAATTTTCTGCAGCTCATAAGTCTCAACACAACACTCCACGTCCGTCTGTCAGTTCTGTCGCATTTTGCGGTGGCACACAAAGGGTTAAAAACGGCATTTGGCACCGGTAATCCCTCTCTTGGGGGTGCGAATACATTTCGCCCTCACTGCTCTGGCTTATTAAATTCCATAACGATTTCCTGGCGCTGCTGCTGGTTGCCGAGTCTCGCGCGCCGCATAATATGCGTGTCAGCTGTGATTGCCGACGAGTTCTCAGCAAATAAAACGCTACCCAGCACACATACGCGAATTAATCCGGATTTTCCAGAGCAGGCTTGTTTTATTAGCCATATATAATTCTCACAAAGAGCGTCTTGCAACGAAATCGCATGAGATTAAATTTATCGATCCGTTGGCGCGCGAATCCGGTCCATTGTGTTTTGCTTACACGATAATTATGGTTGGCTGCCAAGATAACAAAACGGCTGGCGAAAGATGAGGTGAATAACTTGTGTGTAAACAGCCGCTTTTTGCGCAGACACGCGCCATTATCGAGGGAGAAAACTTCGTGTAGGGATGTTCGAACGACGCAAAAACAGCGGCCAATTCGGTTTTAGTGCGGCTTAGCTCTGTGAATTTTGAAGCAGCTCTCTGTCGTCAAGTTCGATGTGAAATCGAGATTGCTGGTTTTTGCATACAAAGAGCGGTTTGGCGATGTCTAAACGTGATAGATCAAACATGGAAAAGGTGACTTACCTGGTAGGAGGCCGAGAAAAGCTGGCCAAATTATCTGCATGGCGTCATGAGGGGCAGACGTAGAAATACGGTATCTGAAACAATAACAATGGTTTTTTTAGTTAATTTATAGATAGCCAAACTTATTTGATGAATTTCAAATTTTCCATTTACTCTGGTAATGGAAATTCTCGTTTAGAAATTTAAATGTTAACGTTGGTATTAAAGTAAAAAAATATTATTCAAACGCAAAATGAATGAAAAAGCATAATTTGAAACAGGCAGAGTGACAAAAAGTGGTCCAAACCTCCGTGGAATAGGATTTTGTAATTAATAATGAAAATGGGTTTTGCCAGCGCTGTTAAATTTTAATGCGTGTGTGTGCGCTCACTTCTTGTCAATTCAACGAACGAATCGATTTTCACTCCGAATTTACATGCGCAACAGTCGCACATTTTCGATGGAAACACTTTGCTACAATTGCGTTACCAAGTTGTTTAAATATTCAACCAATAATTTCAATCGGCGTGAGGAAATTCTTCAATATATATTGGTGCAATGCTGACTGTTCAAATAATTACAAGTAACAAAAGCTTTACATTATTATTTAAAAAAATTGGAAAATTTCCATAACTCGGTCGTAGCAAAACATCTTTATAAATTATATAATTTGCTAACGCTATATGTCAAAATGAAAATATTCCAATTAATTTGTAAAAGAATAAATATAAAAAAAGGAAAATATTTTTCAACTAACAATAAGTTAAGGTTACTTTACGTCGTAATTTCATAACAATTGACCTTAAATTTCTATCTCTTCCGAAACGTCCTGTATAACTCTTATTCAGGGTTAATAAAATGTAGTAAGCTATAACGTTTGCGAACATTCCTCTTTTAGAGTACAAGGAAAAGCACTATTTCCTCGCTCACACGAATATAATAAAAAGTCAGACGGCAATTTACTGCTCCATACAACATTTTTTTACACTAGCTTACCACGTCAAATTTCTCATTCTCGAGCTCTGTGCGTTTTTCGCAAACGATCAAACCTGGCAATGTATGGTGCGCGGCTGGAGAGAGAGAAAAAGAAATCAAGGTGAGTCTCTCTGCGAGCAGAAGCAACGTCGAAAAGTCTCAGTGCGGCCTTTAATCATTGGGAAATTTATAGCACTCGCAGTGAATTATCTGCGCACGGCGAAAAATAGAAAGCTTCATAACTTTGCAGCGGAGAGAAATGTATATGCGGAAGAAACGAGGAATGCTCGTTATAAAGCAACCCTCCCTGCGAGAAAAGACGTGTGAAAGGAAATAAATAACGTGCCAATAATAAATTCCGAACGTGATTTATTGACTGGGGTGTTTATTATTCGTCACTGAAAAATGACCCTGCAGGTCTGTCGATCGATGGAGGAAACAGAGCAAATGCAGAGACAGGTGCAGACTGCATTCTATAGTTAGCGTAATGCAATTTGGAAAGCACTTTATCACTTTGTGTCATAAATTTAACCCCATCACGACACCCTCTCTGACGCTTTTTGCGTCGCGCACATTCTGCTGCACGGTCACCAGCCAGGAAATTAATCAAAGCGCTCGCAGCATCCACCGGCTGATTTTTTTTTTTTTTTCAGAATTCGCAGCGAGAAACTTTGTTTATTTTCCATTCAATCTTTTTTTCCGGATTCGCCTCGAAATGCGATTAGTTAGGCGGAAAAATAACTCGATTTTCCGCCGCGCTTCTCTGCGGCTGTTTGCTTACGGAGGGAAAATTGTTTCGCAGCTGAGAGAAGATTACTTTTTCCCATGCCGAAAATGCAAATAGAACAAATACAAAAAAAAGCCTGGTCAAAATTTGATCAGCTGGAAAATAAACATTGAATCGCAAAGCCTGGTTGGAGGCAGTTTGTTGAAAAAATCTACAGGTGAGAGAAACTTCGTCACTATTTGCATTGCAAAGTAGCTGAGTGAAAGCAAACATCAATTATCCTCAAACTTGCTGAACAATCGTTCAGAGATGCAATTAAGTTTCTATCAAAGTTTTAAAGTGCCTAAAAGAGCCATTCAGAATCAGATCTGGCCACTAATAATCGTTAAAACTACAACTAATGTGGGTTTGTAATCATTGGCAAAGATGGTTATTCATATTTATAATCAAAATTATTTAGATTAGATTAGATTAGATATTTTCTTTAGTCACTTAATTATTAATTATTTTTCTGTAATCTAATTATTGCAAAATTTTACCGTTGTTCATATCTGAAATAAATAAAAATTTTTGAAAATTTTATAGTTAGTGACCTTTGACGAGCCTGTAAAAGCGGTATTTTAGTAATTTATAATTTAAATATAATAGCGACAAATGTGTATAATTCAGAATTTTATATCCATTATTTATGGCAGAAAATGTTCTGCACTTTTATTTATTATATTAATTTTCATAATTTTTGTGCCGACAGCTAGCGTTGAAAATTGAGCCTTTCATTTTGGCTGTTTTTGCAGAAAACCAAAGGGGGTGCGATCGGCGTTCAGGGAAATCAGAACGGTTTTGATTGAGTCAGCGCGTCGAGATGAAATATTGTTGTGGTAATAGGCCGAGATGGAGACGCCGCTCCGGATTACGCTGCCCCCGGATGATAAACCCAATTTACGAGGGCGCCATCCTTGCACATTCCCCGCACGTTTTGTTTTTCCTTCCGCTCGCCGTCCAGCGCTCTCTCGCAACAGGGGATCTATAATTGACGAAAATCGCGCCGGCAAAGTTGCGCTGTTTACCTTGGCTAGTTAGTTGAGCTCTCTGGGCCTGGGCATTACAAAAAAGTTTAGCGTTCTGCAAGCTGTGCATCACCGCATCTCTGACAGCGGCGGTATTGTTTTTCCACCGCCGAGTTACGAGTGTTTGTGGTGGTAAATATTTCAAAATTGTTTCGCCGAATATTGTTGCTGCCACCAGCATGGCTGCGGTGGCGAGAGAAAATTCAATTTTACCGTCCATCCATCAAGAGAAGCACATTTTGTAACTGTAAAAAAATTTTAAATTATGTAGAGAAATTACGAGAGATTCTAGCAAAATTTCCACATTTTCTTCATTATTTTATTTGCAGCTTTTGTGGATCAGTAAATATATAAATGAAACAGCGTATTACAAATTTATTGATAAGAAAGATAGAGCTTCATAGTAATATTATAATTAATTATGTTTAGGGTCTAATAGATCATGTCTACAGTATAACTATATAAATATTCATAAAAATATTGTTAATTTAATATGTTTTATGAAATGGATTAGGCTTAAACAGCAATTTAATAAGTGATTAAATAATTTAAATTTTATATTTATAAAAAGTTTATAAAAATTAATAATAATAATAAAAATCTTCATAATAATAATAATATCAATAATAAATGTTATTAGATTAGATTAAATTAAATTTTTTATTTATTTATTTGAGCACAAAATATACATTCATTAACAAACACAATAATACTACCGAAACTAGTTAATGTTGCTCTTAGAACACGTCAGAGTCCTTACGTTACTAATTAAAATCTATGTCCGAAAAATTCGAACCTATCGTAAAACAAATTATCATATAACTCCTTTTCTATAATTAATTATTTTTAAATTTAATTATTAGTTGCACGTTTAATAACTTAAAAAATCTTTCTTTCTTACGTTATGTTCTCTGACCTGCTTTCTGCTAAAATCCGTTCCGAAGAATGAGCGAGAAAGCTCGGGCCAATTGCGCTCACTCTCGGAACCCTTTCCCATCGGTGCCCTTAAAAGTGTGGGTGTGTGCGTGTGATCTAGTGCCGTGATACAGTTTTCTTGTATTGTATGACAGAAAAGGAATTAACTGCGGAAACTAAAAGCCTTTTCAGCAGAGCGCTGAGCTTGCTTTTAGACTCGGGCGAGAATTATGGGAAAAGGCTGACTAGCCCCAAGGTGAGTGCCGGGTCGGTTTCCTGCGAGCGCAAAGTATGTATAAACGTGAGCACCGGTAAGAGCGGAGCGGGCCGAAGTGTGCACTGCAATTAGCAGCGTCGCAGGGTAGGCGCAAAAGCCGGCACCAAAATGCGACTTTGCACTTTCAAAAGTCACACTCCAGGAGGTGTTTCTCGCGCAACCTGATCCACCCCGGCTCGTAACACATTTTACTGCTTTCGGTATTTTTATAGGGACAATGAAAGTCGTGGGATTTGAAGTCTTACGTGAATTTTGTTTTCTTTATTCAAATTCAAGGTTTTACAGTGGAGTGGGTAGGGATTGAATCTGGATTATTGGCGTGGGAAGTTTGTTGTAACTAAGCGACGGCCAAATAAATGCGTCAGAAGTTAGCACAAATTCCAGTGTATTATTATACTGGTCCTCGCAAGTCAAGTTCCGTTCCAATTAGTGCAGATTGTTGATCAGAATAGAATTTACGTAGGAGGAATCACAACATAACGTAATTATCAGAATTTAGCAAGTTGGAAATAACAAGGAAATTTGAAAGCGATACCTGCCTAAAATGAAATAGGATACGCCTACGCCAATTTATAGAGAGTCGAATTAAGTTAAGAGGTAAATTTATTTAATATTTTACATTTTTTTAAAGGGAAGTGAAATATTTCTAGACAATATTGCTTGTTATAATTTGTAATATTTAAAGGGGAAAAATTAGTTATTTATTTTTCAGTGTAAAAGTATTTTAACAAGAATATTTATGGGAGCCATTTTTAATCGGCAGAAATGTTTTGAGCAAAGTTTTAAAAGCTAAATTTTTAGTTTTAAACATATATTTCAATATCGAGTAGCATAAATTATTATTTAACAATTATTGGAAGTCTGTTGAGTTCTGTAATTTCAATTTGTTATTTTCTATGGCAAGATTCCCAATAATTGTCTTTTTATTTTTAATTTAACCTATAAAGAGCCATTTTATTATATTTTTTCATTGAAATCAACCATGTTTTGCGTTTTTATTACTTGCTTCTCCACTTCCAAATGTCTTTTCCGTTTTCCAGTACCGGCTATTCATTGCACGGGAAATTTGCTGCTGCATTGTTCGCAAAAGGAACGACCGAGTGTGCGATGATAAAATTTTGTTGCGGCAATAAA